TTTTTTCAAAATTATTATTTTTATTATTTTCATCATTTAACATTGAAATATTATGACATATGAGCTTTGTGATTTCTTTTTCTTTTTTTGGGGGTTATCCCTATCTTGTATCTTTAATAGCAGGTTAGTTGAGTTAATTTAAGTTTACTCAAGTTTTATTTTTTAATTTTATTATTTGATATTAAATTATTAATTTTTAAACTTTGTAATTTTTTTACTTTCTTTTATGCAGGGTTATCTTGGGTTCAAGTTAGCACGTGTTGATTTTGGCTTTTTTCGTTGTTTTTTTATTGATTTAACTTTAGTCTTTTTTTCTATGTTTTTTTTAAATTTTCTATGTTTTTTTTAAAATCTATTTTTTTAATCTCAATCTTATATCCTGTTTTGTGAGTTAATAAAGTTAACATGGGTTAACTTGAATTTTTTCTTTGATATATTTATTTTGAATTTTTTTTACTTTTATTTTGTGACATTTGGTTATTGGATTCTAAACTTCATAATTATTTTTTTTTGCATAATTATCTCAATCCTATATTCTCAATTAAGAACGAATCAAATTAACTTAAATTAACTTTCTTATTATTTAAATAGTTTTATTCAATTTAAAAAAAAAATTAACTCAACCCATAAGCACTATAAAAAAAATTAATGAATAAAAATAAAAATATTAAAAATATATTTTTATTAGTAAATTGCTAATAAATTTTATCACTAAAAATATTCCATTGATAAATATCTATTCAAAAATTTTCTAGTGAGATATATAAAGATTGGTGCATTTTTTCTTTTTTCTTGTTTTTTTTTAACAAAAGGTGGAGTCACTCATATCTATAGTTCGGCCATTACCCATTCGAAAAAAAAAGCCTGTCTTGGACAAGCCTACCGTGATTCGAATGCATACAGCTTGACAAGGGACCAATTATTGACGAAACAACAAAAAATTATTTAATTATTTTTCATAATAAAGGGACTAAATAATTCATTTTAAAAAAATATAGATACTGATTTATTATTAACTTTTATTTTATTTTTTTCACTAGGTTGACTTATCATTCTATTGGTTTGTTTTTCAAAAACACATGTGAGTGTTTGGAAGTTTAATGATTTTTGTTTAAGTGTATTTTTCGTGAAAAAAACATATAATTTTTTGTGTTTTTTATGATATACATATATATATATATTATTTTAATATATTTTTCAAATAAAAAATACGAAACACAAATATATTTTTTTTATCATTTTCTCTCCTTATCTCCTTCACCTCTCTGTTTTCGTTTCTCCTTCCTTTCCCTCTGCTTCTTCTTCCTACCTCTTCTCTTTGCTCTATATCACAGCAACAACTCAACAAAGAAAAATAAAGAGAGAGAAAAGAGAGATGTTATAAGCTCTTAATCATCTATTCACCACCAAAGGAAAAACCACAATCAAATTAAGCTCTTCATCTTCAAGAGTTCATTAATATTAAACTTGTACCTAAAAACTAGTTAATTTACATGTTTTAAAGCTTGAAAATGTTAAACTTTTATGTTTAATTTGAGCTTTAAAATATTTTTTCACTATTGCAGCATTGTTTGGAAGACGAAAATAATTGATCTGATGATGATGTGGAGTGGTTTTGAGGCTGCAGGGGTGGTGATCTGATCCTGAACAGCAGCAGCCCAAGGAAGAAGAAGGCTGCTGAAACTTTTAGTAAGAGTTATCATGCAGTCCTTAATTCTTACAAATTGTGCAACTAACTCCTTGTAATATTACAATATTACAATTAATCCCTTATATTTCAAGCACTCTACATTAACAACTGGTTTCAGTCGATAGTTATCCAAGAATTAAGAGGTAGTTTTGGGGTTTTTTCTCAAACCTGTCAGCCATTTAACAGCCAGTGAAATATTAAATGATTTCTTACAGTAGAGGGAGTTATTAATTTATTTTGATAAATCAGAAGGATTGATTTATAATTTAACGATGCTGATCTCTTCTTGGCAATCAGAAAACATCTTGGGGCCATGGAGTCTTTGGATAGTGCATTTTATTAGTTTCCACCAAAAACGCGTTCACAGGAAAGGCACATGGACAAGAGAAAAAATAATACACTGTTTAAGCTTATCCCCCCTTTTCTAATCCACCAATGCTTCGCTGGATTAGACCTAATGCCAATTTGTAAACGAATTAATCTCTCTAATCGAAGCCCACATGGAAGTTTAGTAGTTATAAGTAAACATTTTGTTAAATATAGTATCATGCTTTTCTTTTCTCTCTAAGCAATAATTTTATTGTTGCTCCTGTGCAAAATCTAGAAAACTATTCTCTCAGTAATGCAGAGAAGTAGGGTTAGAGTTTTTACTCTGATCCATTTTTCTGCAGATCGTGATTTAATGACAATTACAAGTATATACTTTTAGATGGATACATGAAGAAACATTACATATCACAATATCAAACAGAAAGAACAGCTAAACCAACAGCTAAAAAAACAACTTAAATTTTAGTTTTGGAGAGAATATATATACATATATACACACAGCTCTCGGGATCTCCAGTACTTTTTAAACAGATGACGCGGAATGGGGTTGAAAATTCTTTGTCCACTCTTCCCTCGAAGCTTTGGACTTTGACTTTTGGTAGTTTCTAACTGAGTCTACACTTCAATCATTCATTCATTCATTCCCTAAAGCACAAAGCCACAAGCCAATGGAAAGTAAAGAGACCCTTTTCTTCGAAGTGTTTGAAGGGTAGAATTGGTCAGCACTTGGACCTCCACATACTATTTTACGCACACACACTCTCTCTTTTCTGTTTCCTCGTATGACCAGAGACTGGTCTAAGCTGAAAAACTCGTTTTCTCAGTCAAACTTCAACCTTTCTACCTTCCAATCTATATATGCCTCTCTCTCCCTTCAGTTTTTCTCATCCTCCTTCATATTCCAAACCTCCGCTTTTCTCTTTAAATACAAAGCTTCTTCTGCTCAAGCTTCACTCATTTACAGATACATATTTATCTCTTTGCACCAATACACAGAAAAATTTAATTCTACTTCTGGCTACTTCTATGTTTTTAGCTTCTAGCTCTATACCATCTTGGTCATTCCAGAATCATCTGCTCTTCTTACTTTTCCTGCTGGAGGAAAGTTTTTACTTCTAAGTAACCAAATGCTACAAGTGTAGAAAATGTGCTAATATTGTTTTGCTGGACAACAAGTTTTAGCATTTTAGAGCTAGCAAGAGGCATAATTGTGTTGCTTGTGGTAACTTTTAAGGGAGGTATACAAAATGGAGAGTGGTTGGTGCTGGGAGCAACAGACTTTGATTGCTGAGCTAGTCCAAGGTATGGAACTAGCAAAACAATTAAGAGCTCATTTGAATGCAACATCGTCAGTTGAAGGTAGGGACGAGTTATTACAGAGGATACTAGCTTCTTATGAGAGGGCTCTCTTGATTCTCAACTGGGGTGGGTCAATGGGACAGCCACAGAGTGTTGGAGTCTCCGCTGGTGTTCCAGAGTCCCCCATATCCATTAATGGAAGCTCACGAAGTGACGAGTTCGATGGGGGTGTTAAGGATAATCAGGGTTATAATGAGGCCTCAAAGAAGAGGTGAACTTGTGGTTTACTGTTACAACTCTTGCATGTTGCTTGAAGATTACGTCCATTTCAGTTGTTCTAATGCTTCTTGTAAAATGTTTTCCGATTTGGATTGCAGAAAGACCACACCCAGATGGACAGATCATGTTAGAGTCAGTCCTGAGAATGGGCTTGAGGGTCCTCATGATGATGGCTATAGCTGGAGAAAATATGGGCAGAAAGATATTTTAGGAGCAAAATATCCCAGGTGACTAGTCCTTTATCTTTTCTTTCTTGGAAAGTTACAAATGCCACCACTTGTGACTGGATACTGTACGGCTGAACAATAACTAAGAGCACGAGTAAAAGAACTTGAAACTGACTCGTGTCACTAGTTTCTCACAGCAAGGGCTTGATAACATTGAAAATATGTGTCACCAACCAGGCACTCAACACTTCAATTATACAAAAAATTATATGTTTGAACAGTCATCTCATCTTGCTATATATAGTTTAGACATCTAATAAGAGATCGTTACATGTGCAGAAGCTATTACAGGTGCACCTACAGAAATACTCAGAACTGCTGGGCTACAAAGCAAGTGCAGAGATCAGATGAAGATCCCACCATATTTGAGATCACATACCGAGGAACCCACACCTGCGCTCATGGAAACCAATCGATTCCATCACCATCATCACCAGAAAAACAAGAAAAGAAACAAAAGAATACCAATAACAACTATCAACAACAGCAGTCACAGCAAGCCCTCTATAACTTCCAAAATAGCCTAAAGGTTATTACTGAGGACTTGGACAATAAAGAGATGGTATCTCCCTTCTCTTTTCCCTCTGCATACGGATGCTCAAAGAATGCGAGCAGTTATTCTCCGTCGTTTATATCTCCAGCTACACCTGAACCAACTCACTACTCAGTTTCACCATTCCAGATGAACAATTTTGGAGGAGCACATAATTTGCAGCATCTGGAATCGGATTTCACTGAGATAATCTCAGCCAACACGTCAGCGACCAATTCTCCAATTGTGAACTTGGATTTCTCACTTGATCAAGTGGAATTAGACCCCAACTTTCCGTTCGACACACCTGGCTTTTTCTCATAATTTCATGCAGACACTGGAAATAAGAAATGCGAAAGTGCTGCATTTTTGTGCAATCCAACACTCTGGCTGGTTGCGCCTGTAGAACCTAGCTTGTACTATAAATGAGGAAGGGATGCACGTAAAATAGGATTAGCTATGGCAGCATTGGAAAATTTTGAAGTTCCTATAAATAATATCAGTAATTGTATTGCTACTAACTAAAACTTCCATTAACATAACATATGCTTATATAACCTCGAAAGACAATATTCAGCAGTAGATTAGAGGCCACTGCATGTTGACTTCTAGGACCAAAAAAGAAAACAAGGAAAAACACTTGGAAGCATCGCAAACAAGAATAAATTTAACGAACACGCAGAGACAGCACAGGAAAATGTACAAACCATTCTTGTAAGAAAATGGACCGCAGATCAAGACGGTTCCTTACAAGAAAAATACACGATGTACAAAACGCTATGCTGAGTACTTATGACTCCTTGTAACAGTTTTGACAATGATCCAGTATCTCCAGCACTCGGCTGGAATGAAGCCTTAATGCACAGGTACTTGTGGCTGACCAGAAGCAGAGCATAAGTAACAAGGACTGCATAAGTATGGACCATTCGAACATCCATCTGGAGTAAGAGCATGGAAGTAGAAAAGATCACTAAGCGATGTTTGCAAAGTGAAGAAGGAGATATCGTGATTGAATAAATTACCTAGACAGAAGGTTTGTTTTCCTCTTCGATTTCTGAAACAGGATCTGATGAACTTTTTTCGGGGGCATTTTCATTCCTAATAGCTTGTCTTAGCCCCAAGACAATGAATAAGTTGGTTAGGGTGAGAAGTGACTCAGCTCCTCCATGCAACCAATCCACATTAGACAAGGAAGTCCCATAGTGCACCTTTGCTGCCTCAACCATGCAAACACAAGTCCCAAAAGAAAGTCAGGGAAGGCATGAATAATAAAGCTGACTGATGTTCAAATTAAATCCTATGCAGTGGGAGAAGTTACCATAAATTCCTGCTGGGACTGCTCAGCAGATGTGGAGCAACCAAAGAACCATTAGGAAGAAAGTCAGTATAGATAAAACAAGCTGTCTGACAACAGAAGACATCCGAAAAATGGTAAAACAAAAATTATAAACTTAATCAGGAAAAATTTCATGCAAAAGGAACAATGTTTAAAAATCCACCAATATTATTCATCAACATATTAAGTTAATCCCCAAGTTTTGATCCTACAATACGATATTATATCTCATTAATGGCACAAATACAATGTCCATTGCATGAAAAGATCTCTTCTTTTTAACGGAACCTGTTTGGCTGTTGCCCTTAATCCCCCATTCACAAACACTTCCAGTCCTCGGCCATATGAGAACACAACAGGGCGTATTTTAATAAAGAGAGGAAAAGGGTATCTCCAGACAGTTCCATTTTTTACTAATTTCTACATTAATCCAACAAATTAACTGAAAATTCTTAAAACTTCAAAATCCACCACATTCCTCAATTCAATAATTTCAAGCATCAAAATAACAAACAAGAAAACTGCAAGCACAAATATGGCCAAAGAAACTCACTGGTAGCCCCAACAAAGGCAAGCAAGAAGTAGAAACCAAAGAGAGTGAGCTTAGGAGCAGTCTTGGATTTGGTAATGAAGTACAAGAAACCAATGTAAGGAAACAAAGAGAATGCAAACAGCTGTGAGGCAATGCTCTGTGAGTCAATGTTAGGTGCCCATGGATCAACTGGAAACATCAAACCAACACCACAAACTACCCTCCTTTTCCTCTTGCAACCACCAAGTCTTGTTTTTTCTGTGAAGTAGAAATCTTTGCCCACTCTACATGGGTCTTTTGGGCGATTTTGCAAGAAATAAGAAGAACCCACATAGGAAACAGGGATTAGTGAACTCGGTACTCTGCAAACAGGTTGCGAAAAACTGATCATCATGTCAAGAGAGAATCTTAGTTTTGCCGTTGTGGATTAGGAGTCAGAGACGGAGGTGAACTGAATCTAGCTTCTGCTAAAGAGTTTATATTCTGTTGAAAAACATCATAGACTTCTGGGCCTCCTAAAGTGTTATGAACCTAAATCAGATTATCTGGCCCCTTCTTGGAGGCATCATTGCAAGGGGCTTGGACCTGGAATTACGCCTATTTTGCAACTTACTTCTTTTATTATTATTATTATTATTTTATTTTAAGTTCTAAGTTATTTGTACTTGGATTGGTAAATTCATAAAAAAAAGGGAAGAAATTCTCATTGATTTATGGTCTATTTTTATATTAACCTATACAATAAACTAAAACAAGCTTTTAATATTTATTCTCTCACATTTCATTATTAATAACCAAATTTTTTTTTTTTATCCTTGATTTTTTTTACACTCAATGAATTTTATTTCTTTTGAATATAATTCTTATATTTTCTTTTTGATCCTTGATTTTTTTTACACTCGAATAAATTTTATTTCTTTTGAATATAATTCTTATAATTTAGACTAACATGGTTTTATATGTTGGAATCAACTTTGATTTGCATGCTGGAGTATATCTGATATGGTTATAAATGTTTCAATATTAAATTAAAAATGAAATTTACAAATAAAGATTTATGTTATTGTTAAAAAATAATTGAAAGAAAAATGAACAAAATTAACATAAAACAAGCACTTTTCATTTACATTATTCAAAAGGCATGGGAAAAAAATCAAAATAGCCCCTAAGGTTTTAATTTATGTATATTTGATTCCTTTTCTTTTAAGTTTTTACAATTTAATATTAAACTTTATTTTTATTATATTTTAGTCCCTCAATGTGGAGAGAAGAGATAAAAAATCATTAAAAATACAAATCAAAGAAAAAGTATCATCAGCCATATTTTGATCATAAAAATAATAATATTGATCTTAATAATTCTTTTAAAAAAATAAGAGTTTATCGGAGGTTGTTTTAACATTTAAAAATATAATAAAAAAGTAGATTGTGAGTTGTTAATTTTATTTTGATTCAGTTTAATTTATAAATTTTAAATTGATTAAATGTATTTTTAAGTTATAAATAATTTTATTGTAGTATTTAGGTATTTTTAGTTCAAGAAAAGTTGAGATTTGAATTACAACAGTCCAAGAATTTAGAGGTTGTAATTTGAATTATATTTGAATTATGGATGTGTTTTGAAGAATAATTGTGGTTGTTTTTAAAAATATTTTTTAATTAAAAATATATTAAAATAATAATTTTTTATTTTTTAAAAATTATTTTTGACATTAACACATCAAAATTATTTAAAAATATTAAAAAATATTAATTTAAAGTAAAATATAAAATAAATAAAATATTTTTAAAATATAAAATAAACTGGAGATAAAAAATAAAATAAGAAAGCGTCCTGCATTCTATTTTTAAAAAATAGGGGTGGCGACAAAGTGTCACTCACCCATTTAAAAAACGTAAGCGTGCAGGATGTTCAATGGACCGTGGGGATTAATCGTGGTGCGCGTTCTATTTTTAAAAAATAGGGGTGGCGACAAAGTGTCACTCACCCATTTAAAAAACGTAAGCGTGCAGGATGTTCAATGGACCGTGGGGATTAATCGTGGTGCGCGTAAACTGGCCCGGACACCCTACATAAATCAAAAAAAAAAAAAAAACATAAGCGTGCAAGCCTAACTTCCTAGGCTTGTGCGTGTCAAGGCTTTTCATTTAGGCCAGGGGCGTAGGCTTATCTTTTCAGGCCTAAGCACGCTGATTATTATTATTTTTTTTTGTTAAATGGCCCCTAAGTTCTTTTTTTTTTAATATACACTAAAATTTGTTGTAAATACATTTTAATAAATGATATTTAAAAATTATTCAATTATGCCATAATTTTCAATAATATTAGAGCTTTTATGTTAATATTAACAATTATTTTATAAATAATTATATATTAATCTAATAAATATAATATTTTTAAAGGTTTCTTATTAATATTTAATAAGAATAAAATATTTTTTATTTTAAATCTCTTAGATGTTTTCTCATGTCGGCTCACAAAAATAATTGACTCATGTTTTTTATATTTTTTTTATTAATTTTTTTTTAATAATTATAAAAAGTTTATATTTTTTTAGATATTTCTAATAAAAAATCGTGTTTTTTCTAAATAAAAAATAAAGGAGATTAAATTAAAAAATATACATTTTTCTTCAGAAATCAAATCACTTGGATATCAAATCCGATTCAAAACACCGATAAATAAAAAATAAAAAAAAAAGGGGGAAAAGTGAGTGCATGGAAATTTTCAGAAGACTCTTTAATAGTATTTCTGGTGCAAAACATGATAAACATCATCAATATTCCTTGCATGGCTGAATCGGACTTCAAATTCTCTTAAATAATTATTAACGAAAACAATTATAAATAGCAGTCTTAATTCAGACAAATCTGGAAAATTATGACTTTTCATATCCAATGAATAATGTATTCTCGAATATCATGCCTTCATTCTCATTAAAAGAGGATGAAAAAAAAATTATTGCCTTTACCAAGTATAAAGTAATTGTTTGAAATTGTTGGTTTTTCACTTCTGGCTGCTGGCTTTTCATGTCGTTAAGATACATCAAGTTGTTGCAGAAATAAGTGAATAAATAAACTCGGAAATATAAGCTATGGAAAATGTTTGATGACAGAAACTGTTACAGTAAAATAAATACATTTAGGTGAGAACTAGATTTACTTAGATTAAACTTTTTTGAATATACAAAAGAAATACACAGGCATAATTAATATTTTTCTAGTGAAAAAAATAAACTGTATGGAGATTAATTTAATATAACATGATGAATTTAAAAACAATTTAGATAACTAGTAAAAATATAATTTGATTCACAAAAAGCTAAGACAACATATTTCTTAAAACATAATATTGAAATGACCATAAAAAGCTAAGACAATATATTTCTTAAAACATAATATTGAAATGACAATGTATTGGATAGATCCGGGCCATCTCAGGTTAACCTATCAAATCCACAACTCAGATCAAGAGACCTAAATAACCTCATAAAAGAAAATTAAAATAAATTATGAAATTCAATTATTAATCAACTCAGAGTTAAAAAATAAATTTCAAAAACTTTGACATGGACTAACCTATAAAACTCATGACCCACGTCATGAGGTCAAGATGATCTTATAGAAAGTAAACAAAAAAAAAAAGACATGGGTCAACTCGGATTAATCTGCTAAATATGTGATCAAAATCATGAGACTATGATAATCCCATTAAATACAAATTAAAATAAAGTATGAAACTCAATTTTTAATAAACTCATTGTTAAAAGTTGAAAATTAAAAAAAATTCAATATAAAAACAAGACATGTTAAAAAGACCTGATGTTATTCGAGTTAACTTATAAAGCATATGACTTGAATTATAAGATCGGGATAACCTCATAAAAAAAATTATTAATATAATTCATAATCACTCTAATGCTGAATGATAAAATTGAAAAAATATCAATTAAAAAAACAAAATACCTCAAGTCAACTTTAACTATTTTTTTAATTTTATCCATCAACATTTTGTTTGATTTTATTTTTATATCAAATTTGATCCTCATCTTTTTTTTTTCTATTTTTTGTTTATTTATTTTTCAATTTCAATCCTCAATATTCGTAGATTGAGAATTTTGTTTTATGATTTTTTTTGGGTTTGCCTTTTATAGGTTTAGTCTTGACCTTACGATCTAGATCATGAGTTTCGAATATTATGCCAAGTTGACTTTGGTATTTCTCTAGGTTCTTTTTTAAAATTGAATTTTTTTTTTCTAATTTCATCCTTTAAAATTAGATTAGTTACGGATTAAACTTCATGATTTTTTTTTATGATATTATTCTGATCTCATGTTTAAGATCACGAGGTTAAGAGGTTAACTCGAGTTGACCCATAATTTTTTTTATTGACATTGCTTATATTTTATTTTGTGTTTTGATTTTTTAGTTTTGTTTTTCAACATTATATTGTCTAAGATTTGAACTTTATTGTTTTGTTTAATTTGTTTTCTACAAGATTATAGTTGTGCATTTGGAAGGCTCACTCAAGTGGAATCATTTAAAAAATTTAATTTAATTCTTCAATATTTGAATTGCTAAAAATTAAGATTTTTTTTATTTTCATTTCTATGATGTTAGGATATTTTTGCTTCATTATCAAATATTGAAAAGATATATTTTTGTAATATTAAAAAAAAATATTTTATCAATTGATCATTGTGTTTTTTTAGTTTGATTTATTTATTGTCTCTGCCTCTCTTTTAATCATATTATTAAATCAATCATGTTTATTGAATAAAATCTAGTCAATAACTCGAGTCTTCAATTTTTCTTGTTCTTTTTAAAATGCTAGCAACATCTTAATATATTTTTTTTTACATTGAAGAAAATTTTTCGTAATCCACAGCATTGTACATACTACCAATCTACTATAACATAATACAATTCATTTATTCAAATCACAATTCAATTAATAGTGTTGATTTATAGAAGTGTTATTTTTCAAAGTATTTTTTACTTGAAAATATCTTAAAATAATATTTTTTTTTATTTTTTAAAATTTATTTTTAATATCACTATATCAAAATAATAAAATAAAACATAAAACACAATCTAAAGTAAAAGGGAAAAAAATTATTAAAAAAACAGCATTTCCGCGTAAACAAGCAGGGTATCAACATGAGTGGGGCGGGGAGAGGATTAAATTTGGACACACAATTCTCGTTGTCTTGATATATATATATATATATATATATTCAGCATTCCCAGCAAAAGATAACATTGGAATCCCACATGCGAAAGAAAAAAAATTATAGCCTCACCTCAATAAAGAAATTATAACGAAAGTTTTTCATGATGTATTTGAGTCCATTTAATCAATTAACTGGAGGGCTGCCAGCCTCTTTCCACAGTCCAAGCTTTCATCTATGATCTTCCTCATGTCATATTTATACTCGAAGCCCATCTTCATCAACTTTGATGAATCACATTTGATTCCTCTGATCTCTGGTTCTTCCCTGAACCTAAAAT